TTACCGTTTCGAGTCGCAATTTGAAGGACGTCATTTAAACCTTGCTTTGCTTGTCGATAGTACTGCTTTTGTAGGTAGTACTATAACGTTAAAGTTGGAGAATCGGACTGGTATTTTTCATCCGAGGTTTCGGCGGCGAAGGCTCACTTTTCTCGATGATGTTAAATCAAAAACTGAACAACAATCATCGCAAATGAAGCACGTACTCCAGATGTCTCAAAATCGTCATGCGTGTAGGATGTTTATAACAGAACCAAATAGACTAACAAGGGTACCGTGAAAGCCTTTCCCATGGTTGTATGGGTTTGGAATGGAGTGTGGCAAACTGGCGTCTTGAAATTCTACGCAACTCCTGTGAGCCAAACAGCAACGGCCAAATCCTGTTAGAACTTCTTCAGCTGCTTGGAAGTTTGCTAAGTATGAGGTACCAGACAGCTGGAGCACTGTGCCGTTCAAAAAGCAGTCAGTGCCCCCCCCTCTTCTTTCGAGGTCGTTTACCCTCGTCGCTTCGAACGATGTATCAGACATGTATGGTTATCTGGTGCTGAGATCGAAAGTACTGTTTACTTGTAGAACTGGGCTAGTTTTGGCTCATCGGTGGCTTATGCGTTGTCACACATACGTCCTCTCAGTCTGCAAGTAACTGGTTTCTTTTTCGTGATCTGCGCCTGCGACAAACACTTGCTAATGAAGTTAGTGCCTATCGTTCACCCCATTCGTCAACCGGATGCGCTGCATTAATCTCGCCCCTTGTTTCGGTTGGGAAGCCATTCAGGATATCCATTCCTGAGTTTTGTGCCGCTGAGGCGGAAACGAACCCTGATTAAAACTTTAACGAACTGAGCAAAACGTATTTGCTCTGGTGATACATTGGACTCCGAACTGCAGCAAATTGCTAACGTGCTCCGAGCCAATGGTTACCCGGAGAGATTTATAACCAAGAATATGTCCGACCGCCATATCCAATCGCCTATCACGACCGTTGGGAAGAAGCCAATACACTTGAGTTTACCGCATAAAGGCGACTGTTGGTGGACATAGTCAATTGCCACTTGTTTCAATCCCTACAACGCACGTTTCCGGCTGGAACTCTGCGGTCTTGGTTTACAACAAACCCTTTGCTCAACTTAAACCTCAAAGACAAGATGCCAGTCCTCACCCAGAATATGGTTGTGTATTCTTTCTCCTGCTGTTGTTCAGCGGAGTACGTTGGGCGCACGACACGGCAACTTTCTAAGAGAATACGCGAGCTCCTCTCTTACCGGAATAACACTGACCTCAACATTTCAGCCAGGAGCTCTACTGCATGCCATCCGATTGGCAGCGGGCACGTGGTCATGCCAAACGAGTCATTTCAAATTATTTGCCGTATGCCAAATAGATTACCACTATCTCTTCAACGGCGTTGCTTGACTACAGCCGAGACAGTCTCTATACGCCTGCGAAACCTGGTACTGTGCTGTCAAAAACGTTTCGTACGAACGCTGAGTCTGTCTTGGTCGTGTGGCACGAATCGACCGACCAAGTCACTCAGCAGCCCTCTTCACTGTCTCACAGCATCCAACTAGATGCGACATGGGAGGGGCAGACAATCAATCGTTCCACGTTTTGCATTTCACTAACCAATCTTCGCTGCGTAATTCATTTTTCGCTCCTATTTTAACCATTAGATTTGACCTGTTCTGATGACGAGACCCCGAAAACATTAGTGTTCGTCACTGTGTTCTTTTTCAGACTATGGGGATATTTAAGAAATGTCCAAGTATGTTTCGATACTGCTCATCAGCTCGATGAAAATCCCGTACAGCTCGCGACCAGTTTCGACATTCTTGGGCTTACCAGCTGGGTCTGGTCTCTGAGCTTACATCACACTTGGTTCTCAACATAACGTCAATTTGTACGTGTGTTGCAGCAAACACCTTTGCAAATCGGCTCAAAGCCCGTTTATAACACTCTTTAACTGAATCTGCTTTTCGAGTTAGAAATAAGTGTACCTGCTAACTCCTAAGAAGAGTGAAACCTGTCTGTCCAGAGCAGTATTGAAATGTAGATTTTTCTTTCTTTCAACTTGTCCATGTTATTCCATCCTCTTGTAGATAAGGTATCGATCGATCTGTCAGGTCACACCTATTTTCTCCTACGATATCCATCCAGTTTTCAGATCTTATCAGAACGAGTCCCTTGGTTGAACTGTGATGTCACTATCGAGCCCGCGAGGCGTACCCCTCAAAGTTCCAAACTGCGTTGTTGTTTTCGTCCACATCCTTGGAAGAAAGTGCCACACAATGCCAAAACCACAAGACACATACATGTGTTTGTTCCCGTGGCAGACACTCGCTCATCTTGAATATCATCAACCAAAAACACTGCAAGGATCTGCCTGCTCTGATTATTGCACAAGCAGTGCATGAGTCGGTGTTCAACTGAATGAATAGCTCTGCCAAAAACAGTAACGCGGTTGATACAGTGTCCAATGACAGAAACTGTGAGAATGTTTCCATTTCAAACTTGTAAAAAGTACGCATCATCCTGGCGCGGTGCCATCAGTGGATGCGTTTAGATTTCGTCGTGAAGCGAAGTCCACTGTTTTGTTTACTAAATGGAGACGTCTCATGGACCGCCATGAAATGGCATACTCCAGGTGCACGCTTTGGAGCGACTTGTATAGTTCCCGAACAAATATCGGGTAAACATTCCGTGCGATTTCTATCCGACTTTGCCACATGGCCGTTGGATGAATTATGCACTGGGAATGCTTTTTGTATACTAAAAATGTATGCCTTGATTGGATAGAGATTCGTCCAAAGCTTATGAAGACCGCTTCGATCATGTTCAGTGTATTGTAGTAAACTACTGAATTGTTTACTGACACAGTCTTACCATAGAAACACAAGTAGGCAGATAATTCGAAAACTACACTCACTTGCAAATCAGTTTGGTTTTCACGAGGGACTCAACTGAA